GTCCAAGGAAGAATGTTAATTCTCCCATCATAGACATTTCAAACTCTCCCTGCATAATCTTAGCAAATTCTACACACAAAGAATTATCGAGTTGATCCAAAAATAATATCATCAACATATACCTGGACCAATAAGATATGTTCTTTAACTTTCTTAATAAATAGTGTAGAATCAATTTTTCCTCTTGAAAAATCATTTGCAGTTAGGAAACTACTTAATCTTTCATACCAAGATCTAGGAGCTTGTTTCAACCCATATAATGCTTTCTTCAATTTGAAAATATGATTAGGATTATTAAAATCTTCAAAACCAGGGGGTTGCTCTACATACACTTCTTCTTTAATAAAACCATTTAAAAATGTACTCTTAACATCCATTTGATATAATTTAAATTTCATCATAGATGCATAAGCAAGAAGTAGGCGTATAGCCTCTAACCTGGCCACAGGAGCATAAGTTTCATCATAATCTATACCTTCCTCCTTACAATAGCCTTTTGCAACAAGTCTGGCTTTATTCTTTGTTATATTACCATCTTCATCAAGCTTATTTCTGAATACCCATTTAGTTCCAATAACTTGATGTGACTCTTCTCTTGGGATTAGTTCCCAGACTTGATTCCTTTCAAATTGGTTAAGTTCTTCTTGCATGGCTATGCACCATTGATCATCTTTAAGTGCTTCCTCAATGTTTATAGGTTCAATCTGTGACACAAAAGCAACAGACATACATAAATTATTCATATTTCTAGTTCTTACCCCTTTTGAGATGTCCCCTATAATGTTGTCCATTGAGAGTCCTCTAGGTGATTTCCATTCTTTTGCTAATTGAGGAGTTTGAGAAGGCACATTATCTTCCAAGTATAATTCATCAAGGGCCTCTCTTATATATTCATCATCACCTGCAAGTCTTTTATTTGACTCAAGAGGATTTCCCCCAAGGTCTACAATCTCATCAAAGGTAACATGTATAGATTCTTCTATATTCAAAGTTCTCCTATTAAACACTCTATATGCCTTGCTAGTTAGAGAATAACCTAGAAAAATGCCCTCATCAGCTTTTGAATCAAATTTTCCTAGATTGTCATTTCCATTATTTAGCACAAAACATTTACATCCAAAAATCTTTAAATGTGCAACATTAGGTTTTCTACCTTTAAACAATTCATATGGAGTAGATTTAATAATTAACCTAATGAGCATTCTATTTAAAACATAACAATTGATTGAAATACTGCAAAACTTCTTTTAATTAATCTGCTGGTTTAATTAATCTGTTAAAAGATTCTTTTAATCTGTTAAAAGTGCAGTTTTAATCTGTTAAAACGTCTTTTAATCGATTAAAACGCAGTGTAGAAAAAATTTTTAAGTTGTTTTAATCGATTGAAACGAGATTTAATCGATTAAAAGAGTTCTGATCGGTCATAACTAAATTCTGATCGATCATAACTGATTCTGATCGGTCATAATTGCATTCTGATCGATCATCCTGACCCTTTAAATGATTTTAATCGATTGAAACGTGTTTTAATCGATTGAAAAGAATTCTGATCGCTTATAATTTGATTCTGATCGATCATCCCGACCCTTTAAGTGATTTTAATCGATTGAAACGTGTTTTTAATCGATTTAAAAGATTATGACCGCTCATAATAAAAATCTGATCGATCACAATGAGTTCTAAATGGTTTTAATCGATTAAAAACAAGTTGTATCGATTAAAATACTGTAAAAACACTTCTTTGAACATTCTAAGTGATTTTATTTGGTTTTTTCAAAACTGCATCAGTTAAAAACATGTTTTAAGAAAGTTTTTGAAAAAAAAAAACTTTGTTTTTAGTTGTTTAAAACAATTTTAGAGGCTTTTCGCAAAAATCTTTAAGTGAAGAACCTTCATGCAATAGAAAAGATAAAATGTTTTTACCTAAACATTCTGTTTAAAATATACTAAATGATCCATTTTCTTTGAATAAATACAAGATACAAATAGTTCATTTAACTATAGGAACCCAAATATATTTACCTTTAGGTACACCAAAATGTTTAATTTTACACTTATTTGAAGTGTGACCTTGTTTCATACAATAGAAGCATGCATTTGGAGTAGCTTTAGAACAAGATACATTATTAACATGACAAGCTCTAGTTCCTTTTTCTACCCATACTCTTTTCTTTTTAGTTTTACTCTTTTTCAAAGGAACTCTTTGATTTACATTATTTTGAGCAATTACCATTTCATGCTTCTTAAGATCATCAATTTCTTTTTCCGCTTTGTCTAGCAAATGGTTAAGAATATCTATGTCATATTCATGCTCTTTACAATTTGCACAAGCTAAGTCCTTATTCTCATCCAAGCATACAATTTTCGTATTAGCTACCTCCTTTTCTTCTAAACATGCAATTTTCAATTTTAAGGACTCATTTTCCTTTTCGGATCTTCTTAGATTTTTCTTTACAACTTTATATTCTTTTTTCATATCCATAAATGCAGTAAATAACTCATTATAAGCATTTTGCAATTCATCATGGTCATTTTCTTCACTAGAGGATGAATCGGAATCACTAACCTCAAAATCCGAAGAAATGTTGTTATTTGCCATCAAGCAAATGTTTGCTTCAATTTCTGAGTCGCTTGATTCTGAATTTGAATCACTGTCATCCCAAGCAATATATGCTTTCTTCTTGAATTGCTTTTTGCCCTTGTGTTCATCATTTTTCTTGTTTGGGCATTCGGTCTTTATATGCCCTGCTTCACCACAACCAAAGCATTTTATATTAACGGAATAATTTTCTTTTAACTTTCCCTTACCTTTGAAAGGATGTCTTCCTTTTGCTTTCATCATCTTGGTGAACTTCTTTATAAAAAGACTCATCTCTTCTTCATCAATTTCGGAGTCTTCTTCTTCTTCTTTCTTATTTTTGCTTTTTGAAATCTTGGTCTTGAAAGCTAGGTTCTTCTTTTGATATTGACCATCTTCCTCATTTAGTCTTCCAAGGTCAAGTTCATGCTCCCTAAGCTTTCCAAATAACGCCGCCATAGACATAGTGGCAAGATTTTGTGACTCCGAGATGGCCGTCACCTTAGGTTGCCATTTCCTATCCAAAGATTTCAAAATTTTAACATTTAATTCATCAACATCAAATACTTTACCTAATCCGGTGAGATGATTCACAATATGAGTGAAACGCTTTTGAACGTCGAAAATCGTTTCGCCGGGTTGCATCCGGAACATCTCGTATTCTTGGATTAAAGAATTTTTACGTGCTCTTTTGACGTCGTCAGTTCCTTCGTGGGTTACTCTAAGCATTTCCCACATTTCTTGTGCACTTTTACAAACTGAAATTCTATAGAACTCATCAAGGGTTAGAGCAGATGAAATAATATTTCTAGCCCTAACATCAAATTGTGCTTTTCGACTTTCTTCGGCAATCCATCTATCAAAAGGTTTAAGAACGTCAACACCGTTCTCTGTAATTTTAGGAACAAATGGACCGTTTAAAATTGCGTCCCAAACGCCTCTATCAACAGACTCTAAAAATATTTGCATACGTACCTTCCAAAAAGGATAATTTTGACCCGCAAAAAGTGGGGGTCTGTTGATAGACGCACCTTCGGCAAAAGTTTGATTTTGTCCGGCCATTTTCGAAAATATTTGAATGACTATCAAAGCAAGCTCTGATACCACTTGTTAGAATCGCGCAGCGGAATGTTCGCGTGGTCGGACAAAAACCAAGAGGGGGGGTGAATTGGTTTCTTAATAAAAATTAGGTTTTCAAAATTTTCCCAAATTTTACCGATTAAAAACTGCGTAAATGTAAATAGAGAAGAGTAGAGAAGATTACACAAGTAGGTTTATACCTGGTTCGGATCAAAAGACCCTACGTCCAGCTTGCTAATCACTCAAAAGAGGATTAACGCCTGTCACTAAGAACAAATTGTTACAAACAGATTACAAATGAACAGATAAAGATCGAGAAAACACCTCTCTTGAAATCCACAAGAGATGAAGAACAGCTTTCCCTAGAGACGGCACAAGCACACAATCCACTAAGAACTCCACTTAGTGATTCTTATCGCTTCTAGCCTCACACCAGGTTCCAAAAGCCCCCTTTCCTTGCAACAAACAGTTCTCCTGGCACTCACAGCACTTAACTTTTGTATGGAAAGAGTTGTTCTTATTTTCTCGAGTGCCAAAGCAGAGTTTAAGTAGGGAAATTAGGGTTTAGGAATTGGGGATTTCGAAACTAGGGTTCTTGGTAATTGGGTTTTCGAAAATAGGGTTAATTTGAAATTTAAAATGAAAAACAGACTGAAATAATCGATTATTTGGAGTGATAATCGATTAAAATAGAGCCAAATACGTCAGAACCCAAACCTCTCTGGATTAATCGATTATTTGGTGAAATAATCGATTATCTGTACGGATCAGTACAAAACAATCGATTATTTTGCTGTTTTAATTGATTAAAACAGTGAGTTTGTATAGAAAGTGTTTTCTCACTGTTTTAATCGATTATTTACCTATATAATCGATTAAAGCCGAGCCTAAATGATAAATTTGAGCTTTTTGAAGCTTCTAAGTTACAGACTATGTACCGGCTATCTTAGACTCTAAAAATACAGACTCAATCTTAAATAAAACAGAGTTATTACAATACTATTATCACCAATCTTCAATCTTCAATATTCTAAGTCTTTAGTTCTTGGATCATCATCAAAATCCATTCTTCATATTCATCAAGTGCAACATCAAGTCCTTGAATTGTCAACAAGTTGTACAAACCACATGACTCATGATTGAGAATTTTTCAAAGAGCTCAATGAATCACATATTTCTAAAGTGAGAATCGGTAATGGAGAACAAATGGATGTGAAAGGTATGGGAACAATTGCAGTTAAAAGTCATTCGGGTATCAAATTAATTTTTGATGTTTTATATGTTCCTGATATTAATCATAATTTGTTAAGTGTTGTTCAATTATTGGAGAAAAGTTGAACAAATGGTCTCTAAGCTTTCATCCTCATATCCCATTCTGGGCCTTCAAACGACTTTGATCTACCCATATCTTCTTCCTTTAATTTTGCTATCTCTCTATGCAAAGCTGGTAAAAGGGCTTTCCGAGGAAATGGGTGTAGAGGAGCTCGTGTATCTTTAGTCATAGGGCTCACCCCTCAAGACCGTTGCTTATCTGTCAGCTTCTTGTCTCGGAGTCTATTCTAACTACCTCTATGTGGGACAGACAATAGGAGGAGCACTTTCCGAGCGCTTGGCCAGGGGTTATTCATCTATCAAGAGAGGGTTCCCGGTAATCAAGCTAGAAGTTCATTCCTCCCTTGCTTTGAAAACTTCTTAGGAAGTATCTACTCAGACGGGGATGGGTTTTGTTGATCTAGGTCGTACTCTATTGACTCAAGAAAAGTAGGTTTAGAAGGTGACACCTCTGCTAATTGTCAAATTGCGTCTATCGGATAACTACTTTAATCAATCAAAATTCTTAGGTTCCTCTGTAACGTCATTTTTTTTCTAATTTATTTAATTTCTCAAAAATGGGAATAATTTTTTTTACAATATTATTTCTTTATGACAATGAACTTTAAAATTGGTCATGCGTGAATAAATATATATAAATAAGGTGTCGAACATGTTCATACATAACATTCATAATCATAATACATTGTTTTTCAAAATAACTAATCCAACAAGGATCATATTATAATTACATAAAGTTGGTACCCTTAAACGATTAGAACTTAATTTAAATTTATACATCTCAAAATAAAGCAAATCCTAATCAGAGCAAGTACCCAAAATTCCTAACTTTCTTATACAAGATCATACCCCTCCCGGAGGGCAGCATTCTTCCATACATATGTATATGATACTCAATCAAACTGTGGTTCCTCCACCACAATTGTTCCATCATTACCTGAAATATAACAGTAAGGATGAGTTTCCTTTTCTCATCACTCCAGAACACTAAACCGAAAATTTTTCCAACCTCTACAATCTAAAACCATATGTAACATTTATAGTCAAACATTTCATTTTTTTTCAATAAAGTATCCCACACAGAAATTTCAAACAATTTCCACAAATCACATTACTCAAACTAAAAACACACAATACATGTTTGTGTTTCATTCGTTCATTTTTGCCACATTTGAAATGCTCATGCACCTAGGATACACTATCAATCCCATCTTTCAATCCATGAAAGGATCACACATAAGTACAAACAACTCTCACAAACATAACAAAATTACACACGAGCATAAATGGCTCACAGAAGTATAGATAGTTGTCGGTTGATCTGCGCATCACAGATACAATGCTTACGCATAACGATCCCTTGGCAAAAAGGCAAAGTCAAAGAGTCAAGTCGGGAGTATAGAGCGTGGCCAAACAATGCACTCTATATTTCCCCAAGATCAATCTGATCTTCTCTTATCTCCTAAGCCCCCAGTGTATCTCCGTACCATCCACACACATATCTCGTCACTGAGTGACACCACCAACTCTTTAACAACAATATATTTGGTAGGAACAAACTCTACATCATACAGACCATATCACTATAGACATAATACCCTATTTTTAGATGACCAACATCTCTGACTTAGACTCAGCACATAGTACAAACAACTTATAGACATAATTTTCACTAACTACCATGATTATGATTGCATTAACTATTCATAACGTTTCTTTATACCATTCTTATTAAGCTTTATTTATTTTTCATCAATTTCAAAAATTTGACAGAGTCTCCTTTGTAATTTGGACATTTCCCAATTTACAAATACATTCAAATCAAATTTATAAACACATTTTCCTGCATTAAACAAGAACAATAAAAATTTGTCGAGAGTCGGACACTCTCGGACTCAGCACACATTGCGATCCATCAAATTTTCTAAACTCTTGTTATTCTAATCTTGTGTCCCAAAATGTCTCATTACACTATCATTCTCACATCATACATACTCATAAAATAAATAATAGGTCCAGAACTAAAGTTTTGTTTACACTTCTCTAGGAAGAAAAATCTATCATAAGCATTAGAAAAGTGTAACTTTGGAAAAATTCTTTGCCATCTAAACTAACTCCAAATTCTATGAAATTTTCCAGTCCAAAATACATATATTCTAGGATTATAATAAAAATTATAATTCAAAATTTAAAGATTTCTAAGTCATTCAAAACTTTCCTCCATTTTCATACGTTTTGAAGATTCCACTATCAGGGCATTACTCAAAGATATATTTTTATAAAATAAAATAATGGTCATAAAATTATGAAAATAAATACACTTAACATATACCTACAATCACAACTATGATAAAAATTTCATCTCAAAAAAACTTCAATTTCGATTTTCTATGATTTTTCAAAGTTCCTGAGCGAACATAACAATTCTGTTTCACCCAACTCAAAACATATTTACTTCCAAGATTTTTCATCGAAAATCAACTGGTCAGAAAATTTTGAAATAAATCACACACAAACTAGATATATAAAGGAACATGTAATCAAAATTTTAGAATTAAATACCAAGTAAATATTTTTACATAATTTCCCAAAGATTCTATTCACATGCAGATTCTTGTCCAATAACATCTCTCAACACATATTTCATCATCTTCCTCTAGAAAAATCCAATTTAAGTGATTTTTATGGCTAACACTAGGTTTTAACATCCAAGGAATCCATTTCTAAATTCTAAAATATGAAAGGAGCATTGTAGAGTATCTAAATATACTAGAATAGCCATACGAAATTTTTATAAAACATTTTAATTTGGTTCCAATTAATGTAGAAGTGAGATAAATGATGGTTTAGCCTAGGGTTGATGACAAGAAGACTCTCATTACCTCAAATGAAGCTTTCAAACAAGAAAATGGATATCCTTAGTTCAAGAAAAGTATGTCTCCTATAAGCATCAAAATGACTATATATTTGAGATTAAGAAGATTTTAGGAGATAATATTGAAATCACTACTACAAAACTAGTTTTTTTCTGCCAATTTTCTTGCAAAAAATTGTTTAAATTTACAGAAAACTTATTTCTTGCAATTTTTACAAAAAATTTGCAAAAATATTCCCATGAAAAATGAGAATTTTTAGTAGTGAATCCAATGCTTTAATTTCATGAATCTTACTCTTAATTGCTAAAAGGATGAACCAAGATGGTGTGGGCAAGCAAAATCAAGCTTCTCTTCTTCCTCCCGTGCTCCCAAAATGGCTTCCGTAAGTGAGAAAGAAAATTGAATCTTTCTCTTCTTTAAATTTAACCTCCTTTCCATAATTACCCTCACTTACTTTTTCACTTACCAATTAAATCCTTTCATCAATGGTAAATTATATTACTAATTTTTGCTTAATGATATTACTCTTATTATTATTATTACTTCATTTTAAACTCAATTGTAAATTTATCTATTTCACTCTATTAAAAATTTCATAATATATATATATATATATATATATATATATTATTTATTAATATCTTTAAAAATTATCAAGTCTTAAAATAACTCATAATACCATTTTTTTAAAGTTAATGACAAAATATTTTATTATATTAATGAAATATTTTTGGGAAATACTTGGATGTTACATCCTCAATGCTGGCAAAAGAGATTTGAGACTTCCCGCTCGAAGATAGAATGTGAATCAATAATGAATACGATGATCAAAGAAGTGGTTAGACAAAGGTCAAAGGTACAACCGCTACCGCCAGTAGGATTTCCTTGCTTTACAAACGAGCTAACCTAGGAATTGCTCTGTGGGCTACGCGAAGGGACGAGTTAAGGAACAAGAGTAAAAGACGACATGGACGTCATACTACACAACACAAGCAAAGACAGGAGGCCATTTACATAAGGCCATCACCTTCCTTTTAAGCCGGATGATGGGGGGAAGGTCTCACTCTCACGACTTTGGCTTTGCTTTTTGCAGCGGCAGCTACAGAATTCAATATAAGTATGATGGCTCCTGCCAGTGGAAGCAGGGACGGTTCTTCGAACCGCCCGGTGCATGTAGATCTCAACCTCCCCCCTGGAGCCTGGGACGAGCTCTCTGACCTTGCCGCGGAGCTCGAGCAAGTGGAGAGTCAAGTGGAGAGGGAGATTCGCCACTTGGCTGAATCCCCCACCGAAGGTAAGGAGGCCAGACAAGAAAGGTTCCAGCGCCTCAAGACAATTCTTGACGAGATCGACAGCCGGTTGGATCAAGCCCGAGAAATAGATCTGGTTCGTAGCCAAGAACATGCGCGACAACAGGCAAAACTTAACTCCCTAATGGATCGAACCCCTTTCTCAAACGGAGGCCCGACTTGTAACTCGGAGGCAGACCCTTGTAGACCCCTAATTTTGCCCGGCCTCTCAAAATAAAAGCTAGAGGAACTTCACCCGAAGATGGAGTTCATCCGGCTTCCCCAGCAAAACCGAGGAAACCTCCTGCAACAACATGGAGTTCGCTCGTATGCACGATAAACGCAAAAGAGACTTCCTATACAGAGATAAAGCTCGCCCAACATTTTAGTGAAGGCCAAGAAGACTTCCTTCATAAAGATAAAGCTTCAACAGACATATATCGGCATCAATCCACGTCCGAAAACGGCAAGAAAAGCTTCCCGGGGTCCCAAAATACAAAGGCTGGACAAAACGGGTCGAGACCACCATCCCAGGGTTGGGACGGCCGTCCCAACTGCAATTAAGCAGTTGGGACGCGCGTCCCGAATGTGGGACGGCCGTCCCAAACCCCAGGGGGTCCCAACGTGAAGAAAACTGCGTTTGGGACGGCCGTCCCAACCCAGACTGGCCGTCCCAGATTGGCACAACGCAGAAAACACGTTTGGGACGGTCGTCCCAACCCAGACGGCCGTCCCAAACTTCCAGGGCGAAAAATGCTATAAATAGGAGCCTCATTTGTCTCATTCCACACACCAGACAACTCAGAGACTTGTCTTCTTCTCTCCCTCTCTCGAATGATCTTTCTGATTGCCTTTTTTAGGTAACAATCAGTTAAGGAATTTGTATTCCGGCATTCGATTCTTCTAGAAAATTTAGTCGAGTCGAGTCTGTAATCGAGAGGAGAGAACAATTGTAGAGCGAAGGACTGCCGAAACGCGTCCTCTTTGTACAAGAATCATAATACAAAGCTTGCTACGGAGGTTTTTCTCAATTCTCTTCTTCTTTACTGCTTTATTTATTGTTTTTTGTATGCAATGTAGATACATCATGTAGATAATCATATCTAAATAACTGTACGAATAAAATAAGGGTAAATGCGTAATTTCTCATAATCTTCACTTAATGAATAAATCCGTCATAGGGAACCCGAAAGGGGCGTTGTGGGGGTGCTAACACCTTCCCCACACGTAACTAACTCCCTTACCCAACTCTGGTTATAATGGCCAAGTTGGTTTTTAATAAAATCAACGCCTTTTTTCCTTTTCCAATGTTTCTGGTCAAAACATTGGTGGCGACTCCAAAAGAACCCCTTTTCGAAAACCTTGCTTCTATTAGAGGATAGTTCAGTGTTGAGCACCTCGGAAGCAATGAACACAATTTTAACAAAAAACGCGAGTCTCAACCATCTTTTCGCGACCGCTCGCATAAACGTTCGAGACGTCCCCAGGACGTCAGAACGGACGGCGGCGACAGATGGCGACTCCACTGGGGAAGTCCGAGAGTTGATCCCATTTAGTGACGGATAAATTCAAATTAAGCAAAGATTTGAAATTACGCCTTTACCCTTCTGTATGTTTTTATTGTATGGCTTTAAATAACTGCTGTATGATTATTTCTGCAATTGTTTGAAATATAAATTGCACACAAAAACCCTTGCACACAACAGTCCCTCTATACCCGGGGGCAAGAGTGAATACCTATAGGGAGTGGGTGGCAGATACGATCGGTTAGTTGGCACACGGGGCTACTACCGTTGTCGGAAAACCACCAACTCAAGGTGATAACTCTCTTCTTTTGGTCTAAGGGTGTCGCCACGGAGTTCCGTGCATGACCCAAGGACTGAAAGATTGAGAGGTCCCTATAATGGGGGCACCTTGGGGACCTTTGGCCTGGTGAGAACAGTTAGAACCACCTAAACCAAACACGTTTCTGCAGGAAAATCCCACCTCGTGATTAAATAAGCGTGGCTCTGCTCGTGGATGTATGAATTGTGTGTGCATACGTTTGCTGCATTTGTATTGATGCATTAGCATAGGGTAATCATACAACAAACAAAAAAATGAAAAACCCTAAAAAAATCACAAAAAGTGATAAGATAAAAGACCTTTATCTCGGACAGTCTTCAGTTAAGCTAGCCTGGTTTCAGGTTCTTTGTAAGCTAAGTAGCCACGTTGACCGACAGAAGAGATAAAGGGTCATAAAAAATATAAAAACAATTAAAGCAATAAAAATGCCTTTTACTTTAAAAAAGATTCTTGGCAAAGTCGTATCATTCATACCATATCATCCAATAAGTGGTAAAACTAAGAGAGAAAATAATTACAGCATGCTCATCATTTTAATAAACCCCTAAAAAATGGGTCTTAGAGACGTTTTTTGGGAAAATTACTAGGCCAAATCGCCTTCGGCAACGTGCAACTTGGTTCTTCACCCTTTTCTCTTCGTTTTGACATGCTGTGCGTCCAAATCGGACAACCCAGTCAAAAGTTATGCCACTTTCAATATCTGCTGTCATAAAAAAAATATTTTTGTAGTGCATACATAAACACATTCATTCTAGGATACACCAATCATTTAAAAAACTATAATAAAATTGTTAAAATCATTTAGAAAGTGGCTGGTCTTCCGCCCGTCCTCACTCGTGCTCAGAAAGCCAAGAAGATGGAACATCTGGAAGAACAAAATAGAAAGCTTACTACTGAGCTTAACACGCTGAAAGAGCAAATGACACAGATGTTAGAAATGATGCGCCAACAAAATCTTCATAAAGAGGGTCCTCAAAGTGGACAAGCCTCCCACCAAGAAGAAGAGGAGGGACCCAATGATGAACAAGTCCAATCTGATACAAGGGCAGTGCATATTCATGCACCAGAAGTATCAAAACAACAGCTGACTGCCCTTGAAGAGCGATTGAGAGCCATGGAGGGGCATAATTTTGATGTTAAAGAGGCAGCTGATATGTGCCTCGTCAAAGATATCCAATTCCCTAACAAGTTCAAAGCTCCAGATTTCCCAAAATACATGGGACTAACCTGCCCCAAAAGCCATCTTACAATGTACTGCCGTAAGATGGCTGCATATGCTGATAATGAAAAACTCCTGATCCACTGCTTTCAGGAGAGCTTGGCTGAATCAGCTCTAAACTGGTATATGCAGCTGGAAGGGAACCAAATCCAAACCTGGAGACATCTGGCAGATGCTTTCCTTCGTCGCTACAAATACAATATTGATCTGACCCCTGAAAGAGCAGATCTACAACTATTAAGCAAGAAAGACGATGAATCCTTCAAAGCATATGCCCAAAGATGGAGGGAATTGGCAGCACAAGTGGAACCTCCTCTATCCGACAAAGAGACTACATCCATGTTCATCAATTCTCTGACAGGTCCCTATTATGACAAAATGATAGGGAACACATCAACACTCTTCGCAGATGTAGTCATCATAGGAGAAAGAGTAGAACAAGGCCTGAAGAGCGGAAGAATTGCACAGCAGAACTCCTCCAACTCTTCTACTCAATTCGTTAAAAAGAGCTTCGGAAAAAAGAAGGAGGGAACCGTAAATGAAATCAACTTGGCCACTCCTTCGTCCTCCTCGTAGCAGACCAAGTCACGCAGGCCGGAAAGGAAGTTCACTCCAATACCCACTTCTTATGGAAGCCTGTTGCTAAAATTGTTGGATGCCAAACTCCTAGTACGCGTCCCTCCCAAGAAAATGGAGCCACCATATCCAGAATGGTATAAGCCAAATGAAAAATGCAATTATCATTCAGACGCTCCGGGACATTCTGTAGATAACTGCATGGCTTTAAAGGATAAGGTCCAAGATTTAATAGATGCGGGATGGATTACCTTTGACGCATCTACTTCAAAGGTGGACGATCAGCCCTTATCAAAGCCCGAATGAAAGACGGGATAAGGAAGACCAGCAATCTAGGGCTCATCATTTTTACCATCTCTAAAAATGTAATAAAAAATAGATAATAAAAAAAATATATCAAAAAGCTTCCGATGTATCTCTCTCGTGATCCCCGCCCATGATCACGAGATTTTTGATTAAAGTGGGCTTTGTAAATATTTGCATCTATCAATAAAATGAGGCATTTTTCATAATATTCATATGCTTCTCATTCTTTTCTCTCTCATTCCAAAATAATTGAATAAAATCTAAACCCAAATAAGGACCATATAAACAGTCATGTCTGTGATTGAAAACTCTCTGCGGGATCTGAAAGCCGAAGACGAATGGATTGAGTCAGACAGTGAGGAGGGGACCATTTCCCCGGACATGCAAAGACTATTGGAGAAAAGAAGCTTAATTGATACAGCCCCATAAGAAAAAACTGAGGCCTTCAATTCGGGACAAGAAGATAATAAGAAAGAAGTAAATGTCGGTACCCAAATTGATAATGTCAGGGAAGAGGCAATAACGCCTTTACGCTTATACACTGGATAAAAGCTGTACTGTGGATATGCACAGAAGAATTGTCCGTCAATGAAGATATCTCCAATATAGTCGGTATTGGGGGCACGACGGGAAGCAAAAGAATTTATTCCCCAAGGAGCTACAAGATAATGTTCCTAAAAACAAAGGAAAAATAAAGAAACCGAAGAGAAAAAAAATCCAAGGGGAAGATTGAGCAGACCTTGGATTCAAAGTGCTAAGGCACTTTCTTCAACGCTCCACCGAAAAATCAAATTCGTGGTAGGCGACAAATTGATCATGGTTCAAGTTAAAGACTACATTCGAATCAGCGAACCGTCTACCATACCTTAAATGGATACGGCTGAAGAAGACATTTGAAAATATGGAAATACTTCCTAGAAATTTAAAAGTGGCCCATATAATGAAGAGATATGGATACAGCCCAGACAAGGGCTTGGAAAGGATGCTCACAGAATAAGAGAGCCACCCAATTTTAAGGATAATCCTTTAAAGTACGACCCTACAAAAGATCAAGTCGTACAAAGAAAAGGGAAGTCTCCCCTCCGTACCTTAAAAAGACGATCTTCCAAAAAAGAGGGATATTAGCGCAAAGAGTAGCATTAATCATTAGATGTCCTTCTTCCGATTTTAAGGGATGTAAACCCAATGACTATTAGAGATCACTCCTCGGGGTATGCCCGACCCCCGAGCATCTTTAGGGCACGCATTTCCCTTTGAATTACAAAAGAATGCTATTCTTACTATCTGCTTCT